TATCATGGATAACCATAACATGCAATCTTAATGACGTTGACACAATCCACGGAAATATGTTCTTTATTAAGTGGGCAGTGGACTTGCGTCTGCCTAAAGCCAAGCTGGAATGAGAAGGATAGAAATCGGGATTTTTGTTGTTCGCCGGGAACATGTTAACGAAACACTGGTCTGGGATCCTCTGCAGAATCGAGAGGAGTCTGGAGAGACGATGTGGTTGAAGTCTCAGAGTGACCAGTCTCACGCTGCGCCTTCCACCACATCATCTCTCCAGACCCAGCGCACAGTATAGTTGTATGCTTGTCAATGATCATCCCATGCGAGCAGCTACCTCTGATCTGTCTTTCACTCATCCGTTTTGGGTCCATAGTGGATATTAAGTCTTAACGATAGGCAGATCTGAGGATAAGACTGATTGGTGAGAGTTCACTTGCAGCATTGTTGTTGATGATGCTGAAGTTCCTTCATGAGCAGACGTTCTCTCAAGGACATGTGGGGGCGGTTCATAGTCTTTCCTGGAGATGATAAGAGGTTGGGAAGATTATTAGATGGACGAATGAAAGCGTAAATGTTGTCCAATGAGGATGCAAACACTTCTCTCTCTCTCTCGAGGCTTTGTCTGGGCCGAATTTCAGAAACTTTGCAGCTCTCAGCGCTGTCGTCTTGTCTGATCCAGGGACTATTGGATGTGATCACTGGTTGTACGGTTTCCTCGAGAGCACCCTCGCAAAGAATGATAATGATGTTGCTGGATTTATCAACAATATCGAACAGGGATGACCTTTCTAGACATACGAGTTCATTTCAGTGAAATTATTTTTCATTTTTAAAAACCAAAAAAAATAAAATATAGACAAATCAGAACACTGAAATCTTTCGGTATCCAGAATCCTTAATCAAGTATTAGTTTATGCTGTATTTGATCCACGAAAAGTTACGTCCAAAGATCCAAACACTCTCAACCAATACATCTCATGAACAGCTATTCTCCTGAACATGGCCATATTGACTTACGAGACCGAACGAGAAACCATAAGGCACGCCAGGATTCATCCAGAGACAATAAGTGAGGTTTTTGAGTCGTATTCTAACATCTGGACCGCGTAGCGGCTGTCTGTAACCCGAGCGGGAGTAGGAGAGATGGGAGCTGGGGCTCTCGCAGAGGACCGCTGGGATCATGTCGAAGGCACGTCCACTCGAAGCGCGGAGTCTCTGATCTCGGCTCCTCGGCGGAAGCCAGGGGAGTCTGTGGAGATGATGCGGAGGGCACAGCGTGAGGCGGGCGACCGAGCAGCGATCACTTCCCGCTCTGCGCAGTCGAGGGACCGCGTGCTTGAATGCTTGCCAGCGATCATCCGATGTGAGGACCTTCCTGCAACCTCTCTCTGATCTTTTTTCGGTTGCGGTCGAATGTGATGAGCATACCGGAAACTGCAAGCTGTGAGTCATGTTGAGGAGGTGAGCTTTGGCTTTGGAAATTGCAGGAAACTATTTGATGGCTAAGCCTTGAATAGCGGAGGCACTGAATTAGTGACTTATCATAGATGTTCTTCCATGGCATGTGGGGTGGGGGTTATTCCAATTCTTTCATAGAGATGAGAACAGTTTGATGGACACAGGCCGAGGAGAAATCCTTGAGAAGTTGCTTCCATCTGACCATTCAGAAAATTTTCTGCTTCATTTCCGTTCATTGAGAGTGATCAAGCAGATGAGCCAAATTTTCACAGCAGCACTTTACACTCTGTTGGTGTCTGGTCCTGCCTGGACCAGCGGATGTGATTATTGGCCATGGAAAATTTTCTCCACTGCACCCTAGCAGGAATGACATCGAAAAGAACTAACTTGAACTATGACCTTCCAGACCTGAGTTTCTCATCGTACACATTCCTTTTATCCCACGGGAGGTTTAAAAGCTGAACCTATTCAAAATTACGTACAGCAAAGCCAGGAGAAAATGAAGTCTGCAAACCCGAGGCCTGATTGGCCCTCAATGTGAGCTGCACGTTCAACGGGAACGCAGGAACTCGTACTGATACTACCCAGGAGTGTCTGCCATAGAACATCCACAATGCTATAATTGAGCAGTGCATTAACTGCATTATTAGCTAGCAAACCAGATATATAACTTGTGATCAACCACGAATAGGCAAGCTCTAAGATTAGTCTATTATGGCTTATACCATCGCTTTTTTATTTAGATGATTATCATATTATTAGATTTCTCATTTTCAATTTCAACAACAGAATGCAAAGTGATGACAATGGGGAAATCGCAATATCAATAGCAGCCCAGTGAGAGAAAAATTGCTTACCTGCTTCCTTGAGCATTCGCTTGGCACATCACCTTTCAGGCAAAGAAAGTGGGATGTTTTTTAGCCAAAACCAGTCTATTGGACTAATTTAGTAGATCTGATACTCAATGCGACCAGAACCTGATCTGCCTGCTGCAGATATTGGGAAAGGTAGAGACTTATATGCAGACAATTTTTACGTTCTTCATAATCTTTTTCCCTTTGGTAGGCACTGTATTTCGACTGCCGTCTGCCACGTCGACGTACTGTCCAGGCCTCGCGGAACAACGTAAGTCAAAACATTCTCTCGCTCTTTTCTCCCGTTGAGTATGTTTTTCAAAGTTTGACCGACCGTGGTTCCCCTTCCCACTTCCAGGAGAAGAGCTGCAGATCAGTGTGGGGCAGACGAGTACCAATCTTAACATCGACAATGTAGCTTTTGGCCCAATACCATCATCCCACTTCGGATCAGTGGCTCTTACGCTTATGTGCTGTCCTCTCCTGCTCCATTTCGACTCCTTCGTCTTGGCTTTGTTTCCGCTTGATTGTCTTGCAATAGTTTCCTTTATCCCGTGAGTAGGAATTCTTCCGAATTAGGTAGGGTCTATTTGTAAGCCTCAGGAATGGAAAGAATTGAAAGCACTCTACTGTTTACTGATCAGTGGCATTTGAATATAATCGATCACAGAAGAATGTCATCGACAGCACCTCAGCAAAGATGGCTAATAACACAGCTATCAGTTTGTGTTATCTTTGATCCACGGAATGGCAGTAGTTGCATAAGAAGATCTGTTCACTATCAAGGAATAAAAAATGCACTACATCTGATGAATAGCTCTCCTGGACAAGTCATCACTGATATGACACTGAACGAGAAACCATAAGGCACGCCAGGATTCATAGAGAGACAATAAGCTAGGCTTTTGCTTGGGTCTCTAACATCTGGGCAGCGTAGCGACTGTCTGTGACCCGAGCGGGAGTAAGAGAGATGGGAGCTGGGGCTCTCGCAGAGGACCGCTGGGATCATGTCGAAGGCATGTCCACTCAAAGCGTGGAGTCTCTGATCTGGGCTCCTCGGCGGAAGCCAGGGGAGTCTGGGGAGATGATGTGGAGGGCACAGCGTGAGGCGGGCGACCGAGCAGCGATCACTTCCCGCTCTGCGCAGTCGAGGGACCGCGTGCTTGAATGCTTGCCAGCGATCATCCGACGTGAGGAGCTTCCTGCCACCTCTCTCTGCCCTTTTCTCCCCATGGAGCCGATATAGTCGTTCATAACTGCAAATCGTGTGCGTGAGTGTGATTTGGTGAGTGGATTCTTCCAGGAAGAGTGATCTCTTCTCGCTCAGGAGATGATTTGGTGGGAGGAACTGACTGCGTGAGCCAGTTTGATGAAAGTCGACTGTGATCGAATTTGGAAACAAACTTTCTCACTTTCGGTTTTATTTCTTCTGTTCTTTTCGGCTCCACAAAGCTTTCAGAGCATGAACGTGCACTCCGTTCAGCTTGGATGCTGTTGTGGGGTTTCAAGTGATGAATCCTCCGCACAGCACAACACAAAGTGATGGGGGCATCCCCACATCAATGGCAGCCCAGTTGCTTCACTGCCTCCTTGAGCACTTGCTTGTCACATCACCTTTCGGACAATGAAATTCGGATTTTTCTAAGCCACGATCCAGTCTGTTAGACTGATGTGGAAGGCTACGGTCTGGTTGCGGCAGAGCTCTCTCTTCACCATTCTCTTGTTCAGTAGCATTTTCGATTTGGTACTTAGACACCAATGTCACATCATCACTCTGCACGCTGTTATTTACTTATCAGTGGACTATTGAATGTGATCGATCACCGAAAAATGTCATCGACACCACGGATTGATCGATTTGTTCTCTGCTCTGAGTCTGTAACAATCCACCACAAAGTACTGGAAAAATGGAAGCCCCTTGCACAGAAAGCTCTCAGATTTTGGGGTGAATTCCACGCTCTCACTTTGATTCGCCAGTCTCTATCATGCTGATTGCGTTTTTCCGCTGCCCTATCTGTGGAATTCCAGCTCAACATGGGACTGTCCTTTTCTTACACGATTTGGTTCAGCTCAGCTCCTCGATACCATCAAAGCATACAGCCTTTTCGATTATACAGAGCCCAAGCTCGACCCGAACAAATGTACTTATTTTCAACGGCGCAATGTACTACAGATGCGGTTTTTATACATGTAATTTCTCTCGGACATGTCGTCAACTAATTAGTCTTAGTCCTAATTAGGCTAACTAATTAGGGTTAGTCCTAATTAACCTTCGTTCATACGGGGAAACCTATGATTTAGTTTTACTTTTTACAACTTCCCACTGAGACTACACATGGATCATAGAAACTATCTCCTCCGAGACATGAATTTAAGTGAGAGTTTGTAAAGTTAACCTGCGTCTTGTTAATAATAATTCATCTAACCCTAGTTGGGCTTGATCTTTTGTTAGAGTCTAGAATACTTAATCCGAGTAAAAGCTTATTTCTTGTTTCAGTCTCAGTAGAGATAATGAAGAGCTTTAATAAAGTTTTTTATCGTAAGTAATCTACTTTGAAATTAACCATGTATACACTACACCCAGTCCCAAGAATGTTCGAGTAATCTCACTCCCACTAACCAATCACAATTGTAACATCAAAAAAGGAGAAATCAAATATCTTCCTAAAATGAAGTTATGCAAAACCACATCCCATTGCCCAACATTTGAGATGATTGTGTTCTCATCAACTTCTACCAACCATGGTAGATAAAACAGCTGATAAAGTGCAGACTACCATGATCTAATCAAGACACATTCACATGTCTTTGGATGATGAATGATAATTATGTCTTGAAGTGAATATGAATTTCATAAAAAATGTTAAGACTATTAGTTCAACAGTCTCAACACAAGGATAAGGATACTATCACAATTGCGGCTTGACAAAAGCCTAGTAAATCATCAAGTGATCGGAGATGTGTCAAGGTAGATAGGATTCGAAGTATTTAAGCTTAAGTGACTAGTCTTATTACACATTATTTTTCTTAACTCAAGTCAGTCTACTCCCAAAACATTTATAGCAGTTCGAAATTGGATCAAACACGTCAAATTCCAATTTGACGTTGTCTTTAGAGCCGCGCTAAGAAATTGAGCGCTGGACAAGAAACTTCACAGGCAGTTGTTGCTGCAGATCCTCTTGTTGTTGTTGCTACTCTTCCTGAGGCTCCTTTTGTATGGTTCTTGTTGCAGCAAAGAAACACGACAAATTTGACAACCTCTGCAAATCGACTCATACCTTTGCATACGTATGCCATCAGAGACATCAGACATGTCCTCAATCTAAAGAGAGGACGGGCAATATCATGACCGTTCTCTAACCTGATTCCAGCGATTCACTGAGTCTTGTCATGTCATACGAAGGAGTTGCGAGTTTCCAAATAAAGCATATTCAACGATATCCTCGACATCAAGTAATCATGCTGCAAAATCAGTGGCAGGTATTTTGTCAGCCTAGTCTCTCCAGAAGGAATCCATAGCCTTCAAACTGGAAGTCTTTGCAAGCTGCTGCCAACCTAGACAATAAGAGAATATAAATAAATTGGTATGATGAAAGATTCGCTCAGTTAAATCCAAAGACAACAAGACAAAGATCATACTTTACAACATCCAACAACGATAAAGTGATTACATGAGTAAAATCCCAGTGTCAACCTCTCACCTTGAATGACTTCACTCGCGGCATTTACAATCACAAACTCCTGGTTCTAAAATTGCTGTAAATGACGTCCCTGAATGAAAACAATCAACTGAACAAAACTAGAGTAGAATAAATTGTCGGCTGCACGGTACTACTAAAAGAGGACGGAAAGACATAAATAGCTAGATAAATACCTGTTCCGTCGCTGCTTGGAGCGTACTTAGTCCACCCTGCTGCATTGCGCTTATCCAATTGGCCGGCAGCGATGTCACACCGCCTTGCTGCGGTGAACGCAAACTGTTGCTTTGCATAGATGTTGCAGTAGGCTGACCAGAATTAGCTCCATTTTGTTGCAAAGGAGGAATTCCCGATTGCTGCAACGTTGGACCCAAATTAGTTGCCAAACTGTTGGGCTGCAGGGCGCTCACAGTTGACTGACCAACGCCCGTCACTGGCATTTTCTGCACATGCTTGTTATCCTGTTGTTGGATTTGCGATAAAAGCTGTTGTTGCGCTGGAGGTGGAGCCTGGCCACCTTGCTGCTGCGGTGGTAAGGCTGGCTGCGGTGGTTGCTTTCGACGCTTAAATGTCTCCATAATGTTCACGATTTGCTTCTCAAAAGCCTCAACCTTGTCCTGATTGAACTCCCTTGGAACTCTCTCCTTCGATACCGTCAAGTATGGAATCATGCGATGCAGAACATCTTTATAATGCTTCAGCTTATGGAGCTGGTCAGGCGGCATCGGCTGATACACCGAATAAAATTCCTCTTTAGTATACAGAGCATATACGACGAACTGTAAGTATAAATTGCACGCAGATATGGCGGATACGAAATTAGCATGCTTATGAAACGATGGAGCCTGGTAACTCAACCTTGTTACTCCTGACGAGTCCTTTTAGTTTACCAGAATAGACTGGAAGTATTTAAGGCATAGAGGTTATGTCTGCAAAAATGCAAAGAGTTTACAATTGAAGAACGAGATATAATCAAAATGGAAGCAGCAAGACAGTCCGGAAGTCACCATCGTACTCCTCGTTGTCAACATGCCATGCAAATCTTTCATATCTTGCAAATACTTGTCTTTCAGCACTTGCAACTGCAGGTCAGACACAAAACGAAAAAATGTATGTGTTAGGACATAACGAGAGAGAACACAAACCAATTTGGGTTGTATACTAATGCATAATCGTACAAAACTTGCCTTGGGCCACACGATGTCTCGATGATCCAACACGGAAGCTCCGGCCGAATGTGTAGATGAATCCACTGATTCTGGAACAAAACCAATGGATACCATAAAAACCTCATACAATGCTCCATCAAGGGCATAAAGTGATTACAATATACTTATTTCCTACATAGTCGTGCATTACCGCATCCTGATAAGGCTGGCCGCGGTGGTTGCGTTCGACGCTTGAGACGCATGTCTTCGGCAGCCCGTCAATGCTCGCGGGGTGTCCTTCGCAAGATGACTTTCAAGATAGGAATTGGATTAGCTGTAGCTGAAAACAGTCGGCCAAAGGGAGAGTGTCACCAGATCTCGTGACCCCAACCGCGATGTATTGTCAGTGTCAATCTGCGACGCAAAACATACGAAGGTAAATGTTAATTCTTGGGCACGCAAGGTTCAAGAGCAAAAAGGACGTGCAACAGTTGGATAGCGTGGCATGATTTTACGCATACCCCTCATAACAAACTGGGCAGACCAAAGCCCTCATACCGACGACATCCACTTCTTTCAAGTGTTTCTTCAACATACCATTTCCTTTAACTTAGCACCCGGTGCTAGATAATCTTATGCCCCTTCAATTCTTTCAACACTTGCTCGCCTAGTCTACAACGCACGTCCACAACTGTCTGCCTGATTTTGACTTTAAAGACGTCAAGCTTTCCTGGTCTGCTGCAGTGTGAGGGCTTTATCTGCTGCAGGTTAATCTCCCACGAGAATTCGAGATGACAAGTAAAACTAGCATTTGTCCAGGACGGTTGAGACAATTTCTTGAAAAAACTAACCTTCAATACAGGTCGTCCTACCGGAACGCTTCCAAACGGGCACCGACGCTGGCAGAAGAAGGTCCTAGCTAAAGAGCTCTGAAGTCGAAGGAAAACCTTCTTCGTGAACCAGACTTTACGAGGAAAGGCGAAGCTTGGAACTCATGTGTCGCCTGCGACTAATCTTGCCAAAACGATTCAGACCATTATCTGCCCATCTTCCTGCACTCAAACTGCACGAAGCCCGCTTTAACCCGACGACTATTTATGCGCAATCTACTTGTGACGCTCCACAGTCCACTCCACTGCAAGTCTTGCGGAAGAATGGCAAAGAGCATCCCGACTCTGCAACTCCTGAATTGAGCAGCAATTGAGCAGCGCCCTCGGCTCCCGGCCTTCCCTTCTCTTGCACCACCCGCTTCTCCTCCTCTCGCTCAACAAGCTCGCTCGTCCGCTCGGCGCTCGCACAGAACGCTCGAAAATCAGTCGCACTCCTCAGACCTCCTCCACCTCCGACTCCCCGGCTCCCTGTCGCGTCGGCCGAATTCTACCAGCAGCAGATCGTCCGCTGCCCTGCTCTGATCGCGACTGCGAGTGCGTGGGCCCGCCTCTCTCTCTCTCTCTCTCTCTCTCTCTCTCTCGCGTGCCCCTCAGGCTCGCTCCGTGTCCCCGCGCAAGAAAGAAACAAGGCGCACGGGAAATCATCAGAGCCTTCAATGTCATCGACTGTGCCGTGAAGCGGAAGGAAGTCTCGGGCTGACCTTTTGGCCCGATACTTGATTGTTCTCCAACCGTCCCAGCCCGATTTTCCATTGTTAAAAGCAATCGTATCCATGATTGCGCCCGCTCTGATGTCTCATTCGTCTCACACTGAGCCACAATTTTCTCTGTTGACTTCCGTAGCCATGTACAGGTCGAACCGCCTGTACGGTAGGCGCCGGACCCGCGACAAACCGAACAGAGATGACCTCCATGGCCAAAGGTCATCATTTCAGTGCGATTCCCTTTCCTTAATTCTTACGAAATCTTGAAAATCGATTGTGAAGGAAGTCGTCAAAGAAGAAAAATAACTTACAAATCTAGTGGCAGCATTGCAGAGGCAATTAGACATGCTTTGGCGTGGGTCTCTAACATCTGGGCAGCGTAGCGGCTGTCTCTTACAAGAGCGGGAGTAAGAGAGATGGGAGCTGCGGCTCTCGCAGAGGACCGCTGGGATCATGTCGAAGGCACGTCCACTCGAAGCGTGGAGTGTCTGATCTGGGCTCCTCGGCGGAAGCCAGGGAGTCTGGGGAGATGATGCGGAAGGCACAGCGTGAGGCGGGCGATCGAGCAGCGATCACTTCCCGCTCTGCGCAGTCGAGGGACCGCGTGCTTGAATGCTTGCCAGCGATCATCCGATGTGAGCAGCTTCCTGCGACCTCTCTCTGATCTTTTTTCGCTTGCGGCCGCGGTCGAATATGATACTCTCGAATATGATCGCTTGCATACCGGAGACTGCAAGCTGTGAGTAATTTAGAGAAGGTGGGATTTGGCTTTGGAAATTGCAGGAAACTTTATGATGGCTAAGCCTTGACTGTCGGAGGCATTGAATTATTGACTTATCATAGGTGTTCTTCCATGGCATGTGAGGGTTATTTGAATTCTTTCATAGATATGAGAACATTTTTGTGGACACAGGCCGAGGCAAAACCTTGAGAAATTGCTTCCTTGTGACCATGCAGATAGTTTTCTGCTTTATTTCCGTTCCTCCAGAGTTTTCAGGCAGATGAGCCAAATTTTCACATCAGCACTTTGCACTCTGTTGGTGTCTGGTCCCTGCCTGGACCAGTGGATGTGATTCTTGGCGGCGGAAAAGTTTCTCCACTGCATCCTAGCAGGACTGAAATTGAAAAGAACTAACTTTAAGTATCACCATCCAGCCCTGAGTTTCTAATCGTGCACATTCCTTTTATCCCACGCCAGCTTTCAAAGCTCAACCTATTCAAACTCACGGACAACAATGCCAGGAGAAACTGAAATCTGCAGACCCGAGGCCTGATTCGCTGTCAATATGAGCTGCACGTTATCAACGGGAACGCAGGAACTTGTACTGATACCACTAAGGAGTAGAACATCCACAATGCTATCATTGAGCAGCGCTCTCAACATAGCTGCATTACTAGCTAGCAAACCAAGGATGTAAACTGTGATCGACCACGAATAGACAAGGTCTAAGATTAGTCTTTTATGGCATATACCATCGAAATTGATTGATATATTACGACTAATCTCAAATATCACATCGCTGATTGTATCATGGATAACTATACCATGAACATGATCCCCTGGGATCTCTGACGACACTCTGGTCTGGGCTCCTCCGCGGAATCGAGAGGAGTCTGGAGAGATGATGTGGAGGGCACAGGGTAAGCCTTAACAGGCTGTGCCTTCCACCACATCATTTCTCGAGACCGAGCGCAGGCAAGGGACAGCATGCTTGTCTGATCCAAGGACTGGTTGATGTGATCACTGGTCGCAGGGTTTCCTTCAGATCAAGCTTCCGAAGAATGAAAGATTTAATTTTTACAAATGATCACATAGAAGACCTTTATAGCCCTACGAGTTCATTACAGTGGAATAACTTTTTCTAATTTTTACCAAACCTTGGAATATATTTCCATCACGAAGACATCGCAAACGAAGTCGACACAGACAAAAAGTATCTTTCGGTATCCAGAAGCCTTGATCAGGTATTAGCTTGTACTGTATATCGGAAAAGGCATTAGTTACATCGAAAGATCCAGACACTATCGAAATATACATCTGATGAACAGCTATCCTTCTGAACATGGCTTCATTGACTTAAAAGACCGAACGAGAAACCATAAGGCACGCCAGGATTCATCCAGAGACAATAAGTGAGGCTTTTGAGTCGACTTCTAACATCTGGGCAGCGTAGCGGCTGCCTGTAACCCGAGCGGGAGTAGGAGAGATGGAAGCTGGGGCTCTCGCAGAGGACCGCTGGGATCATGTCGAAGGCACGTCCACTCGAAGCGCGGAGTCTCTGATCTGGGCTCCTCGGCGGAAGCCAGGGGAGTCTGGGGAGATAATGTGGACGGCACAGCGTGAGGCGGGCGACCGAGCAGCGATCACTTCCCACTCTGCGCAGTCGAGGGACCGCGTGCTTGAATGCTTGCCAGCGATCATCCGACGTGAGGAGCTTCCTGCCACCTCTCTCTGATCTTTTGTCGGTTGCGGTCGAATGTGATGAGCATACCGGAGTTTGTAAGCTGTGAGTAATGTTGAGAAGGTGAGGTTTGGCTTTGGACATTGCAGGAAACTATATGATGTCCTAGCCTAGCCTTGAGCAGCTTCCTGCCACCTCTCTCTGCCTTTCTTTCCCATGGGCCCCTGCTTTTATTCGTTCAAAACTGCAGATCCTATCTGCGCGTGAGGATTATCTGATGAGTAGATTCTTCCAAGAAGAGTGACTCTAGCTCGGGAGGTGATTCTATAAAAGGCCAATTTGGTAAAAGACATCTGCAACTGAATAAACATACAGAACCTCTCATATTCAATTTCAATCCTTCTTCTTTTCATGTCGGCTCGACAAATTTTTCCAAACATCAATGTGCACTCCGTTCTGCTTGGATGCTTTTCCGGGGTGCAAAAGATGAATCCTCTGTACAGCCCAACGCAAAGTGATTGTAATGGGGCATCCCAATATCAATAGCAGCCAACTAGGGGAAGAGTTGCCTCGCTGCTTCCTGGAGCATTTGCTTGTCACGTCTCCTTTCAAAGAATGAAATTGGGAATTATTAAGCCACGATCCAGTCTGTTGGACTACTGTGAAAGCTGTGATGTTCAAAGTGACCATGAGTCCAGAGAGATGATGTGGTGGAAGGCACAGCGTGACCAGGCTCACGTTGTGCATTCCACCACATATCTTTCCAGACCGAGCGCAGGTGAGGGACAGCATGCTTGTCCGATCCAAGGACTGGTTTATGTGATCACTGATCGCAGGGTTTCCTTCACATCAAGCTTGATATGAAGGAACAACACCTTGCGAACAATAAATTAAAGTCGTTGGGAATTTTACACCGAAAGCGATGGGTAAGAGAATTCTCCACCCAAGATTTAATAATTGATCGACTCGTTATGTAAGTAAAGTCCATCTTCTCATTAAGAACACAGTAGACCTTTCTAGACATACGAGTTCACTACAGCGCAATAACTTGTTCTTTTTCTACAAAAACTTTGTATTACATTTCCATCTCGTTGACATAGTAAACAAAGTATCCAGAAGCCTTATCAAGCATTGGCTTGTGCCGTATGTAATCCACGCAAAGGCATTAGTTTCATAGAAAGATGCAAACACTATTAACGACTTCGTTGTACATTTAATGAATAGCTTTCCTGGACAAGTCATCACTGATATGACACTGAACGAGAAACCATAAGGCACGCCAGGATTCATTCAGAGGCAATAAGAGATGCATTTTCGTGGACTTCTAACATCTGGGCAGCGTAGCGGTTGTCTGTAACCCGAGCGGGAGTAAGAGAGATGGGAGCTGGGGCTCTCGCAGAGGACCGCTGGGATCATGTCGAAGGCACGTCCTCTCGAAGCGTGGAGTCTCTGATCTGGGCTCCTCGGCGGAAGCCAGGGGAGTCTGGGGAGATAATGTGGACGGCACAGCGTGAGGCGGGCGACCGAGCAGCGATCACTTCCCGCTCTGCGCAGTCGAGGGACCGCGTGCTTGAATGCCTGTCAGCGATCATCCGATGCGAGCAGCTTCCTGCAACCTCTCTCTGATTTTTTTTCGCTTGTGGTCGAATATGATGAGCACACCTGTAAGAGACTGTTAGCTGTGAGTAATGTTGATATGTTGAAATTTGGCTCTGGAAATTGCTGGAAACTGTATGATGGCCTAGCCTTGACTACTGGAGGCATGTTCTTCCATGGCATGCGGGGTTACTTCGGATTTCCTTGCAGCTCTCAGCGCTGTCGTCTTGTCTGATCCAGGGACTAGCGGATGTGATCACTGGTTGTAAGGTTTCCTCGAGAGCACCCTCGCAAAGAATGATAATAGCGGTGCTGGATGTATCAACAATATCGAAGAGTGATGACCTTTTCAGACATACGAGTTCATTTCAGTGCAATTATTTTTTATTTTTATAACCAGAAAAGTAAAAATACAGACAAATATTTTTACTTTTTTTTTCAGACTACTGAAATCCTTCGGTATCCAGAATCCTTGATCAGGTGTTAGTTTATGCTGTATTCGATCCACGGTAAGTTACGTCGAAAGATCCAAACACTCTCAACCAATACATCTGATGAACAGCTATCCTCCTGAACATCGCCATGTTGACTTACGAGACCGAACGAGAAACCATAAGGCACGCCAGGATTCATCCAGAGACAGTAAGTGAGGTTTTTGAGTCGAATTCTAACATCTGGACCGCGTAGCGGCTGTCTGTAACCCGAGCGGGAGTAGGAGAGATGGGAGCTGGGGCTCTCGCAGAGGACCGCTGGGATCATGTCGAAGGCACGTCCACCCGAAGCGCGGAGTCTCTGATCTGGGCTCGTCGGCGGAAGCCAGGGGAGTCTGGTGAGATGATGCGGAGGGCACAGCGTGAGGCGGGCGACCGAGCAGCGATCACTTCCCGCTCTGCGCAGTCGAGGGACCGCGTGCTTGAATGCTTGCCAGCGATCATCCGAAGTTAGGAGCTTCCTGCCACCTCTCTCTGAATTTTTTTTTCTTATGGGGCCGATGCTTTTAATCGTTCCAACTGCAGATCCTTCTGACGACTTCTTTTCAGCTGGGATTTTTTTTTCCCCATATTACAAGTAACTGAGTTTGGGTGCTCCAACTCTTGAGATGAGATGAGATGTTTCTGAGCTCTTCAGGTATTTGCGGCTTGGATGCGGACAAATATCTCTGGGCATAAAACATTCAAGAGGCCAGAAGGCCTAGCTCGGTTAAGAATTCTCCTAATTTAGTCGAATGGGAACATATTGGCTCTTCTGGCGATTACATGACATCCATGAAGCTCTGACTAACTGGAGGATAGAAGCCCACCGAACCATACAAGCAAACTGAGGCCCCAAACTAGAGGCATATAGTCCTGCGGTAGTGGACAGGCGTACAAATAGAATTGCAATACACATGAACAAAACAAAACTCTTAATTTGAGTCATGATTAGAGTCCCTGAAAGTCGAGCTCTTTGTCTTACATCTCCCACCCACACAGGCGAGTATTAGATCATTTTGTTACTTATACTTTCTTATGTTCACTTCTGGAGAGCAATATGCAGTTTTCACATAGTGCTTCACAGTCTAAAATGCTGCGTGTATTGTGTTTGGGAATCTTTTCTTTAGTTTTGATGTGAGTTTTTATTATATTTTCGGCCTGTTATTATATAATTGAGAAGTTTATGTAAATAAATTTTAATATAAATTTTCAACAAATACATCTGTCACAAAATAAAACACTATATATATTTTTTATTTTATTTATTCATCTTGTATATAGTATTAATCTAATTTAACAAAGATTTGACATTATATAAGAAGATATGAAATCAAATATTATAATTTTGATTATTTTTTCAGAATATATATCATTTCTTTCTAATGCACTTTATTTGAATTTGATATGTATTTGTTCACATTGCGCATAATTTATACAATATCATGTCTAGTGCATACCTTCAAATATATGAGATTGTGTATAGATTTTCCATTAAAAAAATATAAATAAATTTTTTCCTCAATCTCATCAATTGAAGATTGAAATACGTAAATTTTGAAGTGTGTTGCCAAAAATAATAACATTTTTTACAATTATCATACTAAAATTATTAAACATACATTAAATGTAAATGTCTTGATTTTGATCATAGTTTATGTTTATCAAAAAAATATACACATTTATTTTTAATATCTCTTTGATTTATTCAAATATTTCATTTTATATACAAACTTAAATTTGTTCTTGCATTTGTTGATATCAAATGAATTTGTTGTTAAAATGAGCATGTCATTTGCATAAAATAGCAAAATAAGCTGATTAAAAATCTCATTATTCATTATTTCATACGTACACATGCATCATGTACACTCTGTGAAATTCATTGTGTTTTTTTCAATTCATTAATTTTTGCATTTTATTGCCTAGTAATTTGTTTCAACCACAAAAATCAAGAAATCAATTTCTCTTAACTTTTCAAAGTAAGCTAGTTGTTTCATGTAAATTTTTTTTAAAAAAAATCATAGACAAATGCTATAATTACATACATCTGATCCATAACCAGATTAAATATTGTGACTTATTTTGTTATAAGTGAGAGACCTTTGTTGTGTTTATCAATTTTTTCTTGTATCAAACCTTTAACCAATAAGTTGGCTTTGAAGATTTCTTTATCATATGTTAAATTTTACTTCAACATCTATACACATTTGTAACCAATCAAATCTTCAACAATTGAATCACATCCTTCAATACATAATGATCAATATTCACTCAATGTCTATGAATGGATATTTGTCTTACTTGATACAAGAAGTTAAAAAACTCTTTTAGTCTTTCACTAATTTTAATTAATTAAACATAGTTTTCTATTAATATTAATTATATATTAATATTCACTCTCATAATGTATAATACTTCACATCATTAGCATATCAAGAAGATATATTTTTTGGATGTGAAAATTCATTTGTTCATAGTTTCAAAATTTAAATTATAAAAAATTCAATTTTTATTTTTTTATTCTATTCAAACATTTTAAATTCTATTAAAATTTTACTAATAATTAAATTTTTACTAGTTTTAATTCTTAGTAAAATAATTATCGTAAGAAAATTATCAAATAAAAATTTTTATTGATAGTTTTATTATAAAATTTATATAAAAATGAGATTGATTCAACATACTACGCATTTTTCAACATTATGTGATTAAAACTTTAAAAACAACATATTATTGTGGGGTGAAATTCATGGTGAGATGAAAAATACTCATCAACTCTTTAAACTAACTTTGAAACTCTTCATAATTTTATTGCTCTTCATTAATCACTGAAATATCAATTTTAGTTTTTCAATTTAAAAAAAATTGAAAGTATTTCAAATTTTTTTGTAAAATAAGAATAATTTTTAGAAATAATCATCTATATATAATATATGTAATTCAATTCTTTCAAAAAATAATTATTTTTATAATATTGAAATACGTCATTATGTATATATTTAAATATTTTTTATTTTAATAATTAATAATCTCATATTGCCAAAAACTGTGAAATTAATATATCATAGTCTAGACTATTGTATATGGTAAAAATTTATTCTAAAATTATTTTTGGAACAAGATGATTGTTCATTATAGTACTAAAATTTCTTCACTTTGGAAAGATTAATCACTTCAATAAAAAACTTGAGACTTTTTTAAATTTCTCAATACAAAAGATAATCATTATTTCTTGTCATGATGTTTGATTGATGAAGATACCAAATTCGGACTCTGCGTTTCGCGGAATCGTACTTCACCAAAGTTCCCTCGGTCTGGAGAAGACTTCACCGCAGCCCAACTTTAGTTTCCCCCGAGACAAACCGAGTTTTAGTTCAGCTGATCAGTGCAGTCATTCCTTCATGGAGGCGTTCGTGTTAGGTCCCTTGTTCCATGTGCCGCACAGCTCTTTAGATGCAGGATGCGGCAGTAGTGTGTTCCAGCCGAAAGGGTGATGCACAATTATCGACATTAGAACGCAAAATAGACCCCACAGACAAAAGTCATCAAAATTCATAAATTGATGTCTCTGCTCAGATGGGACCTGCTTTCACATTTTCACATTCATGTATCCTTCGATAAGATGGTTCAGGTCCACCTTTGCGAGAACTTAGATTTGTCCATGGGCGCTGCTTTCGAAGCCAAAATTCCAAACCCTGCAAAGCCCTCGTTTGTGCAGACCGATTGGACGATTGTCAAGGACCAGATGAGCTGCACCGAATTGTTGATCGCATCGTATCTCTTCTTGTCTGTTGCTTCAGGTCCTGCTTCTGCGTCTCCGAGCTGCGAAGACAGGACTTAGCAAAGCAATTCAACGTTTGTATGCTTGTGCAATGGTCATTATGTCACCTATCCTCTTTCAAGTGCCGAGTGCTACAAATCCTGCACGTCGATAAGAACGTGGTTTCTTATTGCTTGATCACATATGAAGGTTCTGGTTTGCAGGTTGACAGCTAGATACTTTGGATGGAGGACGAATTCAAAGTCCAGTTATGCTGTCGATGTTTGACATGTAGTTCCAGTTTGATATCCTTTCGGGGAAGGTTTGATTGCTCCTTCCATGATTGTCAAATGAGGAGGATGCTTCTGGTGGTTTGGGGTTTGGATGGACTGTGTTTGTAAAGGTTTTGACAGGGAATGAGAAGAATGAGTTGCTGTTGTGCAGAGATGGAGTCAAAAAATAAGCATGCAGATTTACAGCCAAAGGTGGAGATAGAATCGTCTCCTCTTACATAACAAGTGAACAAATCAGGCCCAACAAGTGCTCGGAAAAGCAGCAGTGCGAGACAATTGAATGTAACTGACAGTGTGCGTTCAGAATGAGCTCAGTGTATAAACAGATCTAGAGCAGAAAATCTAGTCAAAAGGTCTAGAGAACCAAATTCATCGTCGTGTGCTCGGGGACCAGCTGGCCAGCTGCTCATCACTCGTCTAGAGGCTTGACGAATTCGCAGACTGGACGATGTTTACAAACGGACTCGAGCACAGACCGACGGAGAACCAGTCAGACAGAGTTCAGAACCTTCCATGAGCCCAGAGTTTCAAGGTCCTGGATAATCTCCACTGGTCACGATGTGCTCCTGCAAAACCTCGAACAGATGCAGGATCCCGTCCTTCGTTTGATCGATTATGGCTTCGGTGGCGTCCTCACCTCCTTCGTATGAGACCGTCCACTCCACCAGCACCTTGTCCCCCACCGTAGTCAGAGTCATGGTCGGCCACCACTTGCGAAACCCCTGCGCGAGATGGCCTCCTTCGATCTCTGCCGTGGTAATGGTGTAGTTGGCAGCATCGATGCTGACCGTCTTCTCCTTGACGTAAGTGCCCTTGGGAGAAACTGCAAGTTATCCATTCACATCGACAATCATGTTAGAAATTGTCCGAATCCCAATCGGGACCATCAAGACCATGAGCACTGGCAGACATGATGATGAGGGTGACAAGTATGGCAACCGAAATGCTGAGCGATTCATGACAAGACCGACCAACGTGGCTAGTGGATTGGATATCTAGAGCATGTATGCCTCATAAGTCCAACTGTTCTGACCTTTCCTTGAGCTTCAACAGATGCAGGACGAAAGGAACGATGCTGACTGACTGCAGGGGGGATTACTACACTCATCCTGATGATCTCTCCTTGCTGTGGTATGAAACTCTGGACAAGATGCAAATAGCAGTCAGCTCAGGTGTGAAGCTGATGAGCCGGCTGGCGTTATGGCAATTCTGGTTTGGTCAGTGCTGGAGATCCGCGAGCTGAACAGACACAATTCGCATGATTTCCCCGAGCCTCGATTTTTATGCCTAGCAGTGCTACACGTGCATTTCTGGTGCTATAAAGAGAAAAGCCATTGATATCGAGCTTTGCAAGACTCGTAGCTTTAGAGACAGTACCGGGTCCAAACTTGATCAGCCTCACTGCACCCGGTTGTCCTTCAACGCCGGCAACATGGTCGATACTGGCGATGAAATTCGGGGCAATTTGTGGGAAAAGTCTATTGCTGTCCTTCAACGCTGCCCATAGTCCCTCTACTGACACATGCAACTCTTGATCGAACTCGAACTTGGGCATTTTAGACAAAGTGCCCCGGATACGCAATGAGATAAGCGTGAATCGATGATTTGAGATGCAATTGAACGCTGCACAGAGATCAAACTATTTAGATCCAAGAGAATGACAGGCAGGCAGGCAAGAAGGAAAGAGGGCGGGCTGGGCTAGGCTAGGCAGGCAGATTGGCAGATTGGCAGATATTGTGGGAATGGATCTCGATCGCGCTTTCCCGAAGCCTTATATCATACGGCCAGCACAACAGTGATCAGCTGGAGCTGAGATTGGGGAGCTGCTGACTCGTGGAAGGACGTACACTTTGAACTCTCGATCTGCTCTGTTTACCCAGTTACCTGCAGGGACGTTTGGCCTGATGTCGTTCACTAAGAGGACTTTCTGGGATGCTACATATGGTCCCTCGTCCGTCCACTGGATAATAGCAATCCTTCTAAATTTACTTTAACTGTGGAACCATGTGTTGGAAGGTGTTTTCCCCTTATTTCAGGACTTAGAGAAGCTGCAGCAACAACAACAACATTGTTGTTGTTGACTAGACTACAGCTGACTATACTCTGTAACAGGTCCTGTAGAGTAGACTCGTAGTCTATTCCACAGTTTGTGACTCGGATCCTGTCGCTGCAACTGAAATGCCAGAGCATTCTATTCCGTTCTGTTCAGATCAGCTCAGCTCTCCTCTGTACCTTGTCCAGTTATGAGAGGACGAGAGGTATGCTCAGACATGCAGAGGGAGGCAGTGAGAAGCTGATGTAAAGATCAGATCTAGATGCTTTGAGTCCACCTTGCACTTCAAGGACATGACTCGGTCTCTCACTCCTCGATTGCCACTTCACCCTTTTGTCGATCGCACTCTGTTAAGTGGAGTGGATTGATCACCCAGTTCAGGAATTCACGCCAGTTTAGAGGCAGAAGGTCAGAGGTCTAGCCTCGTCACTCAAGGGCAACAAAGCTCCTGCACTCCAGGCACAAGCCAACTGAGTCTCGAGCAGTGCAATCAATCAATGGCCGGATTCTGATTCGGATTCGTCAGAATCTGAGCCTCTGAGGCAGGAGATGGTAGATGGTGGTGCTTGGCACTCTCACCTGGAGTCCTGAACATGGATACGCGCGATTACACGCGTCGAGCACCAGACGGAAACCAAGTCATCGGTGCAGCTCCACCTGGGAAGATTTGGACTGGTCTTTGACCCGCTGAATCTTCAGAGCCTGATCCTCAGCCGGATTTTCTTCTCTAGGAAGCTGCAGCAGAAGCTCAGAACGAGCTAGAAGTCGGCTTGAGCAAATGAAACCATCAAGTTTAACTTAAAATCAGCCCAATCGCTGTGTGCTCCATGCCAATCACTCTTCTCGATCGCTCCCTCCAGCTACTGTACTCTGTACTCAGCAAAGTGACAGTGTTGTACGGTATCATGTTGGATACATACAGGACAACTCGATCAGCTCGATCTTACGTAATTAGAGGACTGATATCTTGGAATATAAGGTGCTCTATCTTTGCATGGGGTCCAATTCAGCCCACATCCAGTCCCGGTGGTTTTCGACGGAGTGCGTAACTCCGTCCTCCTCATCTCCAGATCTATTAGGCCAGGTCCTCCCATCTCACCAGCATTAACTTCTCGAGAAGATTCTCAGGAAAGGTGATCGAGGGTCTTGTGTACCCTGTTCCCAACTTCCGTACTTGCACTGTTGCCACATTCAGCTCCAACCAAAGATGAAGTTTATAATAAGTTTATAATCGTTGCTAACCGATTATTCAATTTTTTCGTAGGTCAGCTCAGATTTAATCATGAAATGATACAAGTCAGGTGTTTCGGACATGTTGCAAGACATGTTTATATTTGATCCTTTATGTCAGAATTACGCTCTTCATGTTGAAGTCATAATTTTGAAAATGAAAATGTTTCAACGACGAACTTATCCCACAAATGATCAATAGAACATATACTGATCATGCAACTATGTACAGTATTTTTCTAACAGACTTGACGTCAAAGTTTGAGATTGCTGATTTTTGGTACACTATGTGTACTATTGTGATTTACTTTGATTGAGTGATCATCTCATTTTCCAGAGTGATCTTTGAGCTCTTGGATTGGTAAAATGAGTACAGAGACTTTGTTCTCTTGTTATTTTCACCTAGTTTTTATGATAACTTGTGTTTTTGAACTTAAGAACATTCAATGCTCATTAATGCCTTGGGATGTTGAATCTAGTAGAATTCGAAATAAAATGTTTGGATTATGTCAATCATTTGTTTTATAATAAAGTATTATTTCAGTTTCTAGACCGGATTATAATCCAAAAGGTTTGATTCATAAAAAAATTTCTCAAAACCTGTGGAGTTACACCTCAGCAGCCTGCATATAAATCCTGAAAATTCTTTGCAAGTGTACACAGATGATTTCTTCATGTGAACTCAGCCCGTAGGTACGAAGAGCCAAGACCAAAAATGGCTTGACGATTTACATCAAGTCCTTGCCTGACTTCCATAATAAGCTTGAAAAGGCTAAAGAATTGGCAGAGTGTCTCAAAATGGACTTTAGGAAGGCTGCCAAAGCCCTGCTTCTACGGATAGTACCTTCAGTCTTACGAATTTTCTCTTATAGACGAATAAATCCTCAGCCACCATTCGGCTGAGGGAGAAGGTGCGCAGCACTTGACCATATTATTATAGAAATTATTTTACTTATAGATTCCGGAAATATGTACATATGAAGTCTTATTTTATTTACGATAATAAAATAGAATTAATAAAAAATTTTAAGATACATAAAAAAAAGTTAAAATGCCCATGTTTAGGAGTAACATAGTGAGACATACTTAAAGTGAACGAAAAACTCAGCATATCTATCTTTATCTTCGACCAGACAATATTTTAAAAAATGCTGCAATAATTATTTTTTAGAACTTTCAACAAAGTTGTATTACCATTACGCCTAGCCATCTTCTCACCCCGTTGGCTTTTCCGATTCTTTTCGGTATATTATTTGGTGTTTATTTAGTATGCAATTAGAAAATTCAAGCAACTGATTACTTGACTATAGGAGCGGGCTTCTTTAAATAGTCTTTAATTCGATATGATAAAGCATTTTTCGTATGGACGCATTGATCAAAGCTGTTGCTTGAATTTGGAGTGTGCACAATCGAACATATTCATTCATTTTCATTTTCATTTTCATTCATTTTCATTCATTCATTTTCTATTTCATGTGAAATAGAATGATATAGTTACCCATACTTTAAACTCGAAGGAAAATAACAATTTCTGGGCGGAAGGGTGTCCATGTTGTCTAAACGAGGCATCTGCGAGGCATTGTACATGAAGGACTGGAATCTTTCGCATCTTGGACCAAAATTATCCTCCACCGCAGAGGATTCCCGAGAGAGAGTGGTCGCCGCTAAAATCAACCAAAACGCAGTTACATAAGTGCGCAGTTACAAAGGTGCGCAGTTACAGTCCACTTCACCCGAAGGCATTTGACTATTCACGACACTGCAGTCGAGCAAGCCCAACCGAGGCACGGCGGTCTGCATCCACTTTCTCGCGACGATGGATCCCTTTATGGTGTCGCGGGGCTCTTGCCCTCTTTCTCCGTGCTGATTGGCCATCGTTCACGACACGCCAGCCCAGCGCGTCGCGAAGACTCACGGGCGTGGTGGGGAAACTGCGAGCGATGTCGGCCAAATGTCGGATCCCTCGACCGAAAGTCGAGGGAATCCGACATTTGGTCGAGGAGATGGGGAGGGATCGTTGGAATGCTCGTCAGTGCGTGGCGTGAGAGGCATCGCCGATCGCTTTAGAGCTGTAGTGTCCAGGTGTTGTTTTGAAGGTCGAATTTCGAGGCGTTTGCGGTGATCTGGGGCGAGGTCGCGGAGGCTAACTTACGGGGCGATGGGGATGAGGTTGTCGAGCACGGAGTCCTGAACCATGTCGAAATTCTTCTTGAAGTACTTCATGGCCTCCCGCTGGAGTTTGTGCGCGTCGTACATGCGGCACAGCCTCAGCATGTCGGCCAGATTCGCCTGGTTGATCCGCTCGCACAGCTCCTCGTCGCAGATCTTTCTGAGCAGAGGGATGTCGTACTTGTGCGCGACTTTGAGAACCTCCTGAGGCAGCACCGTCTCGTCGAACGAGATTTCCGCCGTGTAGCAGTAGTTCACCACCGCCCTCATCGTCGCGTACGACGCATCGTTGATGTGGATCCTTCCCGTTTGCTCCTCCAGCATTCCGGCCTCGAACATTCGGTTGAACACCGATGACCTCCCGGCCTGAATTCGGATCGATCGATGTCCATTTCAACCATTACATTCGATCAGGCGGGAGACGCAAATGCACCAACTACATAACCCTAATTGCACGATCCATGCAACGATCAGTTGCGGAGAATTGGCATGTGTGCGTAGATCGACTAGGATTTAGGTTGAATCACGGGGAGAGGATATCTCTGACCAGAATGAAGCGGTGGGCGTGAATCAGTCGGGGAATGCTCGCATGGATGACGAAGATGACATCTCCTCGGAAGCTGGAGCTGTCGCCGAAAGTGTCCGAGTCGGGAAGCTTGAGAAACCGGAGCCTGCTCTGCGCGTCGTTGTAAGCCTTGCGCTGGCATTCGTACATGGACCTCAAATTGGCCAATTCGTGTCTAGCGCTGGCGATGTCTCGAGCGCAGCCCTTCTCCACGAGGCTCTTCTCGTCGAGCCTGGTGAGCAGCAATGCCAACTCCTGCTTCGCTTCTTCGATTTCTACCGTCACACGAGTCCCTTCTGCCATCAATGATTTAATTTCGGCCTCCAAATGGTTCCGATTCGTTCAGCTTCCTTGCCGCACGATCGATCGGTGACGGGAACCGCCAGAAACAATTCGCCACAGAAAGCCGCCATTCAATTCCGGGGCAGCGATTCCCAGCAGCTGATCACGAGCGGATCAATTCCGCCGCTCGACTGATTGTGATTTCAATCGGGCGTGGCGGAGCGAACTGCATGCACGCAGACAAGCAGACATGCCGCATAGCGCAACAAACTCGAAGCTGTCGCCGAGCTTGCGCGAGCAGTGGCAGTTTGGTTTGAGAGCCATCAGTGGCGCCAGTGACGATGAGATTCGTACCAGTCACCGACAACTATTCCGGAAGACAGTTCGGTTGTTTCTGAGTCGAGACGATTCGAGGCCAGCCGACTTGACGAAGAAATGGAGTTCACTAACAAAATTGATTCGCAGGGAATCTTAATCACTGTTTCTTCAAGACCGGGCCTCTTTCATAACTCCAGTTCACACTCGTTCAGAATAGATTATTTTTTTGCTTGCCAATTTTGGGTTAATATCATCGTGCTCAGATTTGGACTTTCACACGAGGAAGCACGAGCTCCAGCAAGTGAATGTCCTGCCATCTCCAGGTATCCAGGTAAGGATAGAAAGACCCGAGGCCAGACCGATAACCGAATGAATGACTGAATTCTTGCTCGATAGAATGCAGAGCTCGACTGCTGAAAAGTTTTTCTGATTCTTTTCTGAAAGCCGTCCACTCTCACCTAAGCAGAACCTGAAGTGACCTTGCTTTAGTGCCCGCCAAGGCCCTGTGTGAATCCTTGGAGTTCAAGGCACCGTCACGCCACATCCAGGTCCAGGACTTACAGTGCAGAAGAACGAAATATCAGATCCTTGCTTCCTTCTGAGATCTCTCCACTCTTCTGGCTTCACTGCAGCTGCCAGTTGGTGGTGTCTCAATTGAAGGCCAGATCGGAGTGCTGGCAGTGTAGTCTGGAGAGCCCCTTAAAGCTCGGTCTCTGCTGGTTTTCCTTGTCATAGTCGAGGTTAAGGAGAGAACTTAAGCGCGATCTTCGGTGGCCATGATATGGGCTCCGATGTCTTCGAACTAATTTAATTCGGAGTTAGGGTCTTGCTTGTGCTCCCGAGATGTCGAGAGGACCGGGCCGGACCGCTTCATAATCGCATACTCGACTAAAGATCTTTACAAGCCGTATTGCTGGATCAGGCTTTCCCCCATTGCAGCCTCCAGTAAAAGTCTGGGGGCCGTGTCTCAGCCCCAGGGCGGCAGTCGAAACCGTGACGTTGTTTCTCACCCACTGGAAAGAGCTTCGTCGTGAACTGCCACTTGGTGAAACCTGCAGCCAGATGAAGTCCCTCAAGCTCGGTGGCACCAAGTTTCATCGTTTTGTTGTCCACGCGGACCAACTTCTCCTTCATAGACGCACCTTCTGAAGCGACTGTCAATTTCAGGAGGATATTTCGGTTTTGTTCGATTTCGTACCCACAATCGAAAAGGCTGTATGCTTTGATGGCATTGAGGAGCTGAGCTGAACGAAATTGTGTAAGAAAAGGACAGTCTCATGTTGAGCTGGAATTCCACAGACAGGGCAGCGGAAAAACGCAATCAGCACGATAGAGACTGGCGAATCAAAGTGAGAGCGTGGAATTCACCCGAGAATCTGAGAGCTTTCTGTGCAAGGGGCTTCCATTTTTCCAGTACCTTGTGGTGGATTGTTACAGACTCAGAGCAGAGAACAAATCGATCGATCGTTGCTGTCGATGACATTTTTCGGTGATCGATCACATTCAATAGTCCACTGATCATTAATCAACAGCGTGCAGAGTGAATACGTGACATTGGTGTCCAAGTACCAAATCGAAAATGCTACTGAACAAGACAATGGTGAAGAGAGAGCTCTGCTGCAACCAGATCGTAGCCTGGTCACATTGAACACTCACAAACCTTCCACATCAGTCCAACAGACTGGATCGTGGCTTAGAAAAATCCGAATTTCATTGTACGAAAGGTGATGTGACAAGCAAGTGCTCAAGGAAGCAGTGAAGCAACTGGGCTGCCATTGATATGGGGATGCCCCCATCACTTTGTGTTGTGCTGTGCGGAGGATTCATCACTGGAAACCCCGCAACAGCATCCAAGCAGAACGGAGTGCACATTCATGCTCTGAAAGCTTTGTGGAGCCGAAAAGAACAGAAAAAATAAAACTGAAAGTGAGAAGGTCTCTTTCCATATTCGGTCTCAGTCGACTTTCATCAAACTGCCTCACGCAGTCAGTTTCTTCAACCAAATCATCTCCTGAGCGAGAAGAGATCACTCTTCTTGGAAGAATCCACTCACCAAATCACACTAACGCATGGCTTGCAGTTTTGAGCGAATACATCGGCTCAAAAGGCAGAGAGAGGTGGCAGGAGGCGTCTCACATCGGATGATCCCCGGAAAGCATTCAAGCACGTGATCCCTCGACTGCGCAGAGCGGGAAGTGATCGCTGCTCGGTCGCCCGCCTCACGCGGTGCCTTCCGCATCATCTCCCCAGACTCCCCTGGCTTCCGCCGAGGAGCCCAGATCAGAGACTCCGCGCTTCGAGTGGACGTGCCTTCGACATGATCCCAGCGGTCCTCTGCGAGAGCCCCAGCTCCCATCTCTCATACTCCCGCTCGGGTTACAGACAGTCGCTACCCTGCCCAGATATTAGAATACGACTCAAAAGCCTAAATTATTGTCTCTGTATGAATCCTGGCATGCCTTATGGTTTCTCGTTCGGCCTTGTAGGTCAATGTGGACATGTTCAGGATATCTGTTCATCAAATGTACAGCGAGTTCGTTGGAAGTGTTTGGATCTTTCTATGTAACTAATGTCTTTCCGTGGATTATATACAGCACAATCTAATACCTGATCTAGGCTTCTCAATACGCAAAAATATTCTTTGTCTGTATATGGAGAAATCTTCTGCGGCCAATAATAACATAAACTGGTCCAGGCAGGGACCAGACACGAACAGAGTGCAAAGTGCTGTTTAGAAACTTGGCTCATCTTCCTGGTCACTGTCGAGGAACAGAAATTAAGCAGAAATCTGAACCCACGGTGATCTCAAAATCAGAAATACCACCCCTTCCACGGCGAGTTTCCTACTGGGGATACCTACCATTCCAATTTTGAAACAACGAAGATCTTTTGGCTCCGTGTTGGAGTTTTTCGGGAGCCTTTTTCTACTACTCGGCGTCCGATACGGTGCCCCAAAAAACGGTTTCTGAAAGGTCACAAGGAGGCAATCTCTTGGGGATATTGCCTCGGCCTGTGTTTAACAAAGTGTTCTCATATCTATGAAAGAATCCGCACTACCTTCACATGCCATGGAAGGACATCTGTGCTAAATCGAGAATACAATGCCTCCAATAGTCAAGGCTAGGCCATCGTACAGTTTCCAGCAATTTCCAAAGCCAAATTATATCATGTAAACATTAGTCATAGTTCACAGTATCCGTGTGCTCATCATATTCGACCACAGGCGAAAAAAGATCAGAGAGAGGTTGCAGGAAGCTCCTCACGTCGGATGATCGCTGGCAAGCATTCAAGCACGCGGTCCCTCGACTGCGCAGAGCAGGAAGTGATCGCTGCTCGGTCTCCCGCCTCACGCTGTGCCCTCCACATTATCTCCCCAGACTCCCCTGGCTTCCGCCGAGGAGTCCAGATCAGAGACTCCGCGCTTCGAGTGGACGTGCCTTCGACATGATCCCAGCGGTCCTCTGCGAGAGTCCCAGCTTCCATCTCTCTTACTCCCGCTCGGGTCACAGACAGCCGCTACGCTGCCCAGATGTTAGAACTACACGCAAAAGCATCTCTTATTGCCTCTGAATGAATTCTGGCGTGCCTTATGGTTTCTCGTTCAGTGTCACATCAGTGATGACTTGTCCAGGAGAGCTATTCATCAGACGTAGTGCATTTTTTATTCCTTGATAGTGTATAGATCTTCCTATGCAACCACTGCCATTCCGTGGATCAAAGATAACACAAACTGATGATAGCAGTGTTATTAGCAATCTTTGCTGAGGTGCTGTCGATGACATTTTTCTGTGATCGATTATATTTAAATGCCAGTGATCTGTAAACAATAGTGTGCTTTCGATTGTTTCAATTTCTAAGGCTTACAAATAGACCCTACCTAATTCGGAAGAATTCCTACTCACGGGATAAAGGAAACTATTGCAACACAAACAAGCGGAAACAAACCCAAAACGAAGGAGTCGAAATGGAGCAGGAGAGGACAACACATAAGCGTAAGAGCCACTGATCCGAAGTGGGATGATGGGATTGGGCCGAAAGCTAAATTGTCGATGTGAAAATTAGGACTCGTCTGCCCCACACTGATCTGCAGCTCTTCTCCTGGAAGTGGGACGGGGAACCACGGCCCGGTCAAACTTTGCAAAACATATTCAACGGGACAAAAGAGCGAGAGAATGTTTTAACTTACGTTGTTCCGCGAGGCCTGGACAGTACGTCGACGTGGCCGGTCTACGGGAGCAGACGGCAGTCGAAATACAGTCCCTACCAAAGGGAAAAAGATTATGAAGAACGTGAAAACTGTCTGCATAAAAGTCTCTACCATTCCCAATATCTGCAGCAGGCAGATCAGGCTGTGGTCGCATTGAGTATCAGATCTATGAAATTAGTCCAACAGACTGGATTTGGCTTTAAAACATCCCACTTTCTTTGCCTGAAAGGTGATGTGCCAAGTGAATGCTCAAGGAAGCAGCTAAGCAACTTTTTCTTCACTGGGCTGCTATTGGTATTGCGATGCCTCCATTGTCATCACTTTACATTCTGTTGTTGAATTGAAAATGAGAAATGTAATGATATAATAATAATCTAAGTAATCCGATATAGCGATGGTATAAGCCATAATACACTAATCTTAGAGATTGTCTATGCGTGGTTGATCACAGTTTATATATTTGGTTTGCTAGCAATAATGCAGATAAGTTGAGTGCGCTGCTCAATTATAGCATTGTGCATGTTCTATGGCAGACACTCCTGAGTAGTATGAGTAAGAGTTCCTGCGTTCCCGTTGATAACGTGCAGCTCACATTGAGGGCCAATCAGGCCTGGGGTTTGCAGACTTCATTTTCTCCTGGATTTGCTGTACGTAATTTGAATACGTTCAGCTTTTAAACCTCCCGTGGGATAAAAGGAATGTGCACGATGAGAAACTCAGGTCTGGATGGTCATAGTTCAAGTTAGTTCTTTTCGATGTCATTCCTGCTAGGGTGCAGTGGAGAAAAATTTCCGTGGCCAATAATCACATCCGCAGACACCAACAGAGTGCAAAGTGCTGCTGTGAAAATTCGGCTCATCTGCTTGATCACTCTCAATGAACGGAAATGTAGCAGAAAATTTTCTGAATGGACTGAAGGAAGCCATTTCTCAAGGATTTCGCTTCGGCCTGTGTCCATCAAAATGTTCTCATCTGTATGAAAGAATTCGAACAACCCTCACCCCCACAAGCCATGGAAGAACATCTATGATAAGTCAATAATTCAATGCCTCCAATAGTCAAGGCTTAGCCATCATATAGTTTCCTGCAATTTCCAAAGCCAAATCTCACCTTCTCAACGTTACTCACAGCTTGCAGTCTCCGGTATGCTCATCATATTCGACCGCAAGCGGAAAAAGATCAGAGAGAGGTTGCAGGAAGCTGCTCACATCGGATGATCGCTGGCAAGCATTCAAGCACGCGGTCCCTCGACTGCGCAGAGCGGGAAGTGATCGCTGCTCGGTCGCCCGCCTCACGCTGTGCCCTCCGCATCATCTTCCCAGACTCCCCTGGCTTCCGCCGAGGAGCCCAGATCAGAGACTCCACGCTTCGAGTGGACGTGCCTTCGACATGATCCCAGCGGTCCTCTGCGAGAGCCCCAGCTCCCATCTCTCCTACTCCCGCTCGGGTTACAGGCAGCCGCTACGCTGCCCAGATGTAAGAAGACGACTCAAAACCCTGACTTATTGTCTCTGGATGAATCCTGGCGTGCCTTATGGTTTCTCGTTTGTCTGGTAGGTCTATGTGGCCATGTTCCGGATGATAGATGTTCCTCCGATATGTTGGTTGATAGTGTTTGGATGTTTCCACGTACATTTCCCTGGATCAAATACAGCATAAATTAATACCTGACCAATGATTCTGGATACCGAAAGATTTCAGTGGTCTGATTTGTCTGTCTTTTATTTTTGTAAATAAAAAGAAAAAGTATCTGCACTGAATTGAACTCCTTTATCTAGAAAGTCATCCCTGTTCGATATTGTTGATAAAGCCAGCAACTCTAGTATTATTCACTGCGAGGGTGCTCCCAAGGAAACCTTACAACCAGTAATCACATCCACTAGTCTCTCGATCAGACAAGATGACAGCGCTGAGAGCTGCACAGGTTTGGAAATTCGGCCCAGACAAAGCCTCGCGAGAGAGAAGTGTTCGCAAGATCAGTGGACAACATTCAAGCGGGAATCGGTCCATCTGATCATCTTCCCAACCTCTTATCATCTCCAGGAAAGATTGTAAACCGCCCCAACATGTCCTTGAGAGAGAAATTCTTTTCAAGAAGGAACTTCAGCATCATCAACATCAATGCTCCAAGCCAAGTCTCACCAATCAGTATTTTCCTCAGATCTGTCTGTCGTTACTACTTAATGGCAACTACGGACCCAAAACAGATGAGTGAGAGTCAAATCGGAAGTAGCTGCTCGCATGGGAATGCCAATGACAACCACACAACCATGCTGTCCCTTGCGTGCGCTCGGTCTGGAAAGAAGATGTGATGGGAGGAACAGCGTGAGCCTGGTCACGCTGTGCCTTCCACCACATCGTCTCTCCAGACTCCTGATCACTTTGAACATCACACCTTCCACAGTAGTCCAACAGACTGGATCGTGGATTAGGAAATGCCAATTTCATTCCCTGACATGAGATGTGACAAGTGCTCAAGGAAGCAGCGAGGCAACTCTTCCCTTAATGGGCTGCTATCGATATTTGGATGCCCCATTGTCATCACTTTGCGCTGGGATGTGCAGAGGTACATCTTTTTAACCCCGGAAAGGCATCCAAGCAGGACGGAGTGCACATTGATGTTACGATAAATTTGTCGAGCCGACAAGAAAAGAAGAAGGATTGACATTGAATATGAGAGGATCTGTATGAATATTCGGTCGCAGATGTCTTTTTATCAAATTGGCCTTCCACAGGATCACCTCCCGAGCTAGAGTCACCCTTCTTGGAAGAATCCACTCATCAGATAATCCTCACGCACAGATAGGATCTGCAGTTTTGAACGAGTAAAAGCATGGGCCCAATGGGAAACAGAATGCAGAAAGAGGTGGCAGGAAGCTGCTCAAGGCTAGGCTAGGCCATCATATAGTTTTTTGCAATTTCCAAAGCCAAACCTCCCTCACCATGTCAACGTTACTCACAGCTTGCAGTCTCCAGTATGATCATCATATAAGACCGCAAGCGAAAAAAGATCAGAGAGAGGTTGCAGGAAGCTCTTCACGTTGGATGATCGCTGACAGGCATTCAAGCACGCTGTCCCTCGACTGCGCAGAGCGAGAAGTGATCGCTGCTCGGTCGCCCGCCTCACGCTGTGCCCTCCGCATCATCTCCCCAGACTCCCCTGGCTTCCGCCGAGGAGCCCAGATCAGAGACTCCGC